TGCTGCCGGCCTCCCTCTTTTAAGTTTATTTATTTATTTCCTCTGAAAGAGACAAAGAGGTACCTCCAACAGAGCTTTCACTCTTTGATCCCCCGCTGCCTCAGGCAGCCAGGACCACGGGCACACACGTGTGCACTGAGTGTGCACAGGGGGATCTTGGGATGCAAACCCAGGAGCTCTCCCCACTTGGCTGCAGCATTCACCAAGTTGCATTACCACTCTGACACCATGGTTGGCCTCACACAGCCACTTCCTCTGCCCTCGGGTTACTCTTTCCAGGTCCAGGCCCCCTCCTCTCTTGAGTGCCGGGGTGGCTACGCGCAATGTCACCAACCATGCAGAGGAGTTCTCCTTCAAACCAAGACTGGATAAAATTCCTTTCCCTTACTCCCCAGTTCACCATGGTGCCTGAGGGGTAACCTGGCTTCTAGGGCTTCCTTCCTTTTTTAAAAGTATTTACTTTTACTTACCTATTCATTTATTTTAATTTGACTAGAGAGAGACGGGGGAGAGAGACACAGAGAGACAGAGAAAGAGAAAGCAAGCCACCAGGTCTGGGATCCGAACCATGGTAGCTATGTGGGAGTCCAGTACTCTTAACCATCATGCCACCTGCCGACTCCAGATCTACAAGTTTTCTATGCACTTTCTCCAAGGCTCAGCCCTCCAGCCCCTTAATACACTGGCTCCACTGCCACCTGGCTCTTACAACCGGATATCATTTCATTTTCTCTGCAGCAACTGAGAGCCTGTGTCCCCTCAAATTCCTGTGATGAAATCTAACCCTCAGTGCGATGGTATTAGTAGACCAGAGGCTTTGAGAAGTGATTAGGTCATGAGGGTGGAGCCTTCATGAATGGGATTAATTAGAGCCCATATAAAAGAGATCTCAGAGAGCTCCCTTACCCTTCCCACCACTTGGGGACAAAGCGAGAGGGTACTGTCTGTGAGCCTGGAAGGGTCCTCACCAGACATCAAATATGCCAGTGCCTTGATCTCGGACTTCCCATCCTCCAGAACCGTGAGAAATACATGTCTGCTGTTTTCATCATCTAATCTTTAGCACTGTCACAGCAGCCCAAATAGACTAAGTCGCCCTCTCTTCGGGACACAAAGTCCTGCTGGGAGAACAGTAATGGGGCAAGCAGGCCAAACTGCTTGCAGATCTTTGACCAGCAGCTGACAAAAACGTTCTTACTTCTCCAGTCACAGGTGTGATATGGGATGCTACAGGAGGTCTTGGTCCCCCCCCCCACAACCGCCCCTGGGCCCTAGTTTCCTGCCTTAGGATAGACATTTCTTTCTTTTTCCTTTTTTTTTTTTTTTTGAGATTTTTTTTTTTCATTTGGCTGTAGGAGGCTATTTGTGAAAGCTGCTTCTTTTTTTTAAAAAAATATTTATTTTAAACTTTATGTATTATCATCATTATTATTTTCCAGTTTGATTAGAGAGAGACAGAGAGAGAGAGAGAGAGAGAGGAAGTGAGAAAGCAAGCCACCGGGTCCGAGACTAGAACCGTGGTCAGCTATGTGGGAGTCCAGCGTCTTTAACCACCATGCCACTTGCCAGCCCCGAAAGCTGCTTCTTATTCAGAAGCCTTTTCTGACTTTCTCCTCTCCTCCTGAATAGACCTGACCACTCTGTCCACCTGTCCTTTGTCCTCATAGCATCATCTAAGCAGACACCTTTCTGGCCACATGACAAAGCAGAGCCCCTTTCTCTTCACCAAGCTGTGATCTACCCCAGAGCCTGGGTCCCAGGGCCCTGCAGACTGTCACTGAGTCAGGAACATAGTGGGTTGGCCATAAATGACAAGGAAATCTAAACACTTCCAGAACACACACACACACACACACACACACACACACACACACACTCTCAGTCCAGCAGAGGGAAGCCGTCATTCTCCACAGAGCTGTGTCCAATTTAATTTGCACTCCTCTGGGTTTGCTCCTGGAAGCCATTCAAGCAGACTAGCACCGAACAGACCTGGGCTTTCAAGGCTGTTCAGCCCCTTTCCACCTGTCTTCGATGGAACAGGCTGTGCGGGGGTCCTGAGTATGCCTCTGGGCCTTGCGCTTGCTAGGGCTGCCTTTTATTCTTTCTTTTATTAAAAAGATTTTATTTAACTTTATTTATTTATTTTAATTTGACCAGAGAGGGACAACGCAGGGGGTGAGGGGGATAGAAAGTAAGAAGGGAAGCTGCCAGGTCTGGGACTCAAACCATGGTCAGCTCTGTGGGAGTCTAGCACCCTTAACCATCATGCAACCTGCCCCACCCCCTGTCTTTAACTCCTACCCTGCTCTCTACCAGACCAGCAGGCAGGCAGGTATGTATGTATATATGTATTTTCCTTTTTAAAAAATTCATTTATTCTTATTATTATTTAATTTGTTGTAGGGCACACGCACTCACCAGAGTGACAGAGAGAAAGAGAGTGAGAAAGCAAGCTGCCAGGTCCGGGACTCAAACCACAGTCGACCATGTGGAAGTCCAGTGCCTTAACCACCACACCACCTGCAAGGCTGAACCCTTGCATGTTTTTTTTTTTCTTAATTCCAGAATGACTCCTCTCCTGAGCCAGTGAAAGAACATGACAGTCTGTCTCTTTGCTGTTCATCCCTTACAGAAAGATCTGACTTTTGGACCCTGGTTTATGGAGAGCACAAGTTTCAAAGTTCCGGGCATATTTAGTCTGGGGATACTGGAAGCTGTTTCCAGTACGGTGGGTCATTTGCACTAAATGCAGCTGTTAGGGCCTCAAACGAGAAGAGACATTAGCCAGTTGGCATGATGGTACGGTGGCTATCTGTTTTATCTGCTAGCCAAAATGAAATGGGCTTTTTGGAAACAAAACGGATGACATTCGGGTTGTGAATGATATAACCCACCAACCTTCCTTGGACTATGCTGGGATGCTTTAAAATAAGGGGAAAAAATGTTAGGACTGAGAAATGAATGGAGAAACAGCAAAAACACAGGGGCACCCACACCTGCAGATCACTCCCACCTCCAAGAACTTCGGCCAGACCTTCCTTCCCTCTCCAAAGCCCAAGTTAACGAGTGCTGCAGCTTTAAGAGTGGGAAGGTGTTGTTTTAAGGGCCTCTAAGCCCCCCTTCTCAATTTCAGCCTCGGACTGAGATCACATCCCCCACAGAAGCCAAAGGACAAAAGCCATTTATCAACCCATCTGATAAAACTTCCAGTGGGTTAACGCTTTATCTAGACCGAACCAAGATGAACACCGATTGCAAACTCCTGCTTCTCTGAAAGGGGGGGAAGGGTGATTTTAAAAGGTGATTTCTATTTTATTATTATTTTTTTAACTCTTGGGAGGAAACCCAATCAGCTTTTCCAGCCATAGTCTTCACTAGGGGGAGAAACTGCCTTTTAAACAGAACAGGGACAGGGGAAGGACACCTTGCAGTTTGACTCCCAGTGGTGGCTTTGATATTCCAGGTGGAGGGGACAAGGGACCTGAAGGCTCTTTGGAGACACTGACACCCCTTCTTCCCATTTTGCCCTTGGCCCGGTCTCCTCGGTGGAACTCGGGGCTCAGAAGCAGGTTGGGGCTCCTGGGGACCCTCCTGGCACTCCCGGCTGAGGAGGGAGACAGAGGCACTCAGGCACTCGCCAGCGGACGCTAGGGGCTTGGAACAAGAGGGTAAACTGATCCCTCTTCCCCAACCACTCGCTGCCAGCGTGGTCCAAACTGCGGGAGCTCCAACCCGCTCAGCCAGGCCGGGCAGGGACTACCCAGTTCTGCCAGTTCCTTGAAACTCAGTTGGCTTAAGAGCAAAACAAAACAACCCAATCCGAGTCTAAATCAAGTTCTTTCTTGTAAAGCTCGGTTGCGCGCGAGGGCTGCGGATCCACAACTGTCTATGGTGCAAGACCAGCTCGAATCTTTTTTTTTTTTTCTTTTCGAAAAGACACCTCTAAAACCCTGCAACACAATGGAAACAGCCGGGAGGTCCCGCCTTGCACCGGGACCATTTGTCCTAGGGCACGGTGTTTGTATTTTTAGCCAGAGTAAAAATGGGTAGAAAGCGTTTAACTGGCATTTCCAGGCAGTGAGCGGCATATGGCAGAAATGAAATAAAGTTTTACGAAACAGTATAAAGAAAACAGACCGGGGATTTAAGTTTCGTGACTTCCCCCTCCCCCTGAAAGGAAAAAAAAAAAAAAAAAGTAAAGAAACTGGAGCGTTTGGAAAGGAACAAATGCTTCTCTGTGGAGTTGGTCTCCCTTCCCCCAACAAAAACAAGAGGTCCAGGCTCCGAGGAATTTGAAAGCAGCGATCTGCCAAAAACATTGTGAAAAACTATGGGGGATTCATTGGAAACAGATGGGCTTTTTCAGCTTTAATTCTGAAATTCTCTCCCTTTCTGACACAATAAAAACAAACAGGAGGCAACGCGGAATGTTATCAAACAGGAACGCGAGTTTATGTGAGTCGGGATCGTGGGTTTCCCCGCGTGGGCAAGAATGTGGGGACCGGACCGGGTCCCCAAGGAGGGGGAGGCTGGAGACTTGGCTAGGACCTCAGGGCGCCCCCAGCTCCGAGCCCGGTGTTTTGCAAACCACCCGGCAGGTCTGCAAACTGGCAGGCGAGGAGCTGGAGAAAGTGCCCCCAGCACCAAGGGTCTGCCTCTGCGTCTCGGTCTCCCTCTCCTCTCCGGCCTCCACGACCCGCGTCCTCGGCACCCCTTCTTGGAAGGAAGACAGGAGTCCCCCGGTTCTCCGAGCTCCCCGCTCGGCTCCTTCTTAATGCTGCTCGGGCGTCCCGGTCCTCCCGCCCCAGGTCCCCACAGACATCCATCGCGCCCTCGGTGGGGCGCGGGGGAAACAAAGACGGGTAGAAACGGGAGGCGGGGGTCCCACAGACTAGAGCCCCACTTCGCCCGCAGACTTGGGGCCCAGTGCTGCGGAGAGGCCCGGGGAGTCGGTCTGGCGCGCCAGGCGGCTGTCCCCCAGCCAGGGGGCAGTGCCTTACCTGCGGGGAAGCTGCAGAGGAGGAAGGCGAGGGTCGGCCAGAATCCCAGGGCTGAACGTCCTGCCCTTCTCCCCATACCCATCCATCCAGCTCGGCCTGTTACCACTAGCCTCTCCCTGGAAGAAGAGTTTAGAAGAAAAAAAAATAAATCACGCTGCGGAGACACGGCAGCTGCGCTGGAGCAGCGAGCCGGGAGGCTCGGTCCACCTTGGCCGCGGGCGCCCGGCGCGCCCCCCCTCCCGCGCCAGCTCCCCGCGCCCCTCCCTCGCCATCCATCACTCGGTTCCCCTCCAATGTCGACCCGGCCCCGCGCCCCATCGCCGTGCGCTCCGCCCCCTCGCGCTCGGGTTTCAGCGCCGCCCGCGGGAGAGGCTGCTGGGCGGGGACCTGGGCAACTCCGCGGTGGCGGCGCTGGCTGCGCGACCTCGGGAACCCGGGGTCCGCGAGCGCTAGGCGCGTCCGGCTCTCCGACCTCCGCGCGGGCTCCAACTCGGTAGTTGCCCACACAGAAGAAACCCAGACCACTTGGGCTGCCAAACCCCGCAGGACACTGGAGCGGCAGTGCGCCCCCTTAATCCTCCCCATAAATCCCCAATTCAAGTAGAAACTGTGCTTGGAGACAGGCCCCAGCCCTCCTTTCCAAGCAAACTGCCCTCCCGAAGACATCACCAACACACTCTGGATCACTCCTCACTCAGATATGTCTCCGGTGCAGGGGGCTGAAAAATCCGCTTCCTAGCTGGCAAGGTCTGAGCCGGAGAGTCCGCGGAACGTCGTCGGCCACTAACGCACCTCCAGGCTCCCGCCCGCGGTGTGCGGGGCCGCCCACCCGGATTGCACTCAGGCCGCCTAAGGCGATCTCCTCTAAGCACCTCGTTCTTCCCCAAGCCTTGCCCTGGCTGCACCCCCGAAATTGGGGGCCTGGGTATGCACCGCCACTCCTAAAGAGAGGTGACTAAGGGGGTCCTTGTGCCTGCAGGGAGCTATCGGAGACGTCCCAAAGGCCTCCTTTAACTCAGCCACTTATTTTTCCGAGAAAGAAAAATGTCTCCTCTCCAAGGTTCCCTAGGCCCTGAAACTCTTCCGCTGTTGCGATATTTAAGGGACTGGCAACTTCCCCTGAGAAACATCTTTTGGATGAAACACAAATAGGTCAGGGCAAGTGTTCTGAGTCAAAACCGATCCCTCCCTTGCCCCCACCCCCAAGCCTGCCCATCTGGTTCTTTGGGGGGAAAAAATTCTGGGTTTTTATCCAATTTCGCTGTTTCTCTTAAGCACTATGACAGTCTTCACTTGCAGGCCACACAGGCTGCAGGGCTGCGTGTACATTTAGGGCTCCGCCTGCCAGCAGGGGAGTGGAGGGAGGATCAGGCTGTGAGGAAGGGGAAGAAGGCCCCACGTCTGTGAAGACAGAACCCTTGCAGCCAGATTTCGGAATCTGGCTTCTGCAAAGCAGGCTGAAATGGGGGCAAAGGCCCCGGCCAGCTGTGCAGTGGGGTAACAGAAAAGTACTGTTTGCTTAGGTCAAAATGGCATGGTTGCAACTGTTCTTTGCCATTGGGGTGCCATTGCATTTCCTTCAGATATTTAGGTCTCGGACCAACAGGCTCTAATGACTCTACTTCCCCAGACCGAAATCCGAGCTCATTTTAGGCACCGCTTTGCAAAGCGCTACAGGTTTGTCCACCAAAGGCCCCCATCTCGTGTTTCCTGGTTTTCCTTTCAAGCTTGGCCAAAGCCTGGGGCCAGACCCTGCCTTTCCTCTGCAGAATCACAAGACAGCAGCCCATTCCAGCAGCAGCCAGGGCACACTGAGGCGGACACTGAGTCAGGCTGCCCAGAGGCAGGGAGCGGCCTTTGCACCTAGGCTGTCCACAGATAAACACCACTTGCTAGATTCTGCCTTTCAGGATGGAAAGACTCACTGAGGAGGGAAGAGAGACCCACCGCATTCTAGGGATGAGCGGCCATGGTGACTGCAGCATCTCCAGATCCTACCTCAGCTGAGGATTCCAGGATCCCAGGCATGCACCTTCAGAAGGCCTGCATGCAGGCCCTTCCGGTGCCACCCAGGCTGAGAGTGGCACTTAGGGAGCAGGGCATTTTTCTTTTCTTTTCCCCTCCCCTCCCTTCCCCTCCCCAACTCCTTCTCTCTTCCTCTCCCCTCTCTTCCCCTCCTCTCCTCCCCTCCCTTCCCTTCCTCTCTCTTCTTCCTCCCTCCTTCCTTCCCTCCTTTTCTCTCTCTCTATTTTTGCCATAGGGCGTATGCCCTCACCAGAGACAGAGTAAGGGAAAGTAAGAAGGCACCCCCAAGGGGAGATGGTCATGCCACAACCCCCCTCTCCTCCATTCTTCTCTTGGGATTTCGGGCACACACACACACACACACACACACACACACACACACACACGCCTGGTGTGATTTTCAAGCTGCCAGGTCTGGGATTCAAATCCTGGTTAGCCACGTGGGAATCCAGTGCTTTAACCACCACACCACCTGCTGGCCCCGGCAGAACTTCTAACCTCTACACCCTGGTTTCTGTACGGGACAGACTGATAAAACTGTCACCCCGGTGCAGTAGCAGAATACAGCCTGGAAGAGGCACCAGGCTATGGCAGTCCCCAGTGTCCTGCTGGGGATTGGCCATCCTTTAGCAAGAAGACCCAGACCCAATGGTATAAGCAAGTAATTTTGGAAAGGGCTGTAAGAGGCCTTTAGCTCATGAGAAGAAATGTGTGAGGCTAAACGTGAACATCCCCACAGTGGGGACCTGGACATTGAAGTTTAGACTAGAGAAATCCAGTCCCAAATAGAGCACTGTGGGGTGTGTAGACATTGAGGGATCTGTCTATAGTGGTGGAACCAACCACCTCACTGGCAGTTCCCTAACTCTCTGCAGGAGTAAAAAACTCTACGAGGGTCCACCCTACAGTATAGTGGTTAAGTGCTGTGCATTAGGACCCCAACTGCAGTTTGAATCCTGGCTCCGGTCACTTAAAGAACACGCTGTGTATGTTTGCGTGTGTGTGTCCATGCCCAAAATTCTGATGGGAGGGAGAAATGGAGGAAGAGGATGTGACTACATCCCACTGGGGGAATGCTTTCTCTTCTTCTCCAATCTCTCTTTGGTGAACATCTGTGCCCTCTGGCAATCAAAAAAGTCATTTATTTTAACATTTTTAAAAGAATTATTTATTTAATTTTATTAATATTTTTAAAAATTTGCTACAGGGTACATGTACTCACCAGAGAGAGAGAGAGAGAGAGAGAGAGAAAGAGAAAGTGAGAAAGCAAGCAAGCCACCAGGTCCAGGATTCAAACCACTGTTGGCCATGTGTGAATCCAGTGTCTCAACCACTATGCCACATGCTGGCCTCCCAAGAAGTCATTTATTAAAAAAATAAATGTTCAGATCATTGGGTTTTGGAGCTCATTCACCACAGACATTTATTTATCTTGAAGTGTAGTTGGCATCAAACAAGTAGCCCCTTAGAGCCTGACCAGTTCCATCTCCGCCCCTAAGCTGGAGTCCTGCCTTTGGGGAGAGACCTTCTCATACCTGGCTCCTGTTCCCTCTTCCCTGGCGCTGGCTGTGGAGACACCAGTGTTGAACATGCCCGTCTTCACCTTCTCTCCCTCTCCACCTTGGGAGAAGCTTTGGAAAGGAACGGTTCTGACAGGGCTGAAGTCCTTCCTGGTATAGGCCTGGGTGGGGACTCGAACTTCACCTGTTGGGGATATGACCAGAATGTCCTCAAGTCTAGGGCCTGAATCTGCAGTCAATAAGTATATATTTGCGGGACCAGCAAGTGGCATGGTGGTTGAGATGCTGGACTCTCATGTGGCCAACTATGGTTAGAGTCCTGGACCTGGCAGCTTGAAAACCATGCTGCGCATGTATGTGTAGGTGCCCAAAATCCCAGGAGGAGAATAGAGGAGTACGGATTGTAGCATGGCCATCCCCCTTGGGGGGGTGATTTCTCACTTTCCATCTCTCTGTCTCTCTGTCTCTCTCCAGTGAGGGCACTTACCCTATGTCAAAAAGCCCTAAGGGGGTAGAATATATATATATATATATATATACACACACACACACACATACATATATACACACACACACACACACACACACAACTATATATACATACATATATATGTGCATAAATATATATATTCATATATATTTGAGACCTATTGCAATCTAGTCCTTGGAGGATAAAGCAACACAGCAGCCCCAACCTTTAAACTGCTGGCAGGAACAGAGTTGAGAAAGAGGAGCAGCAAGAGAGTGGTGAGGAGGGAATGACCCTGACCGAAAAGGTGGTGGGCTTTGAAGGACTCCTTGTCAGTAATCCCGACAGTACTACCGGCTACTATTTGATGTGCTCCTACATTATCTTAGGCGTTGGCTAAATCTCGTCTAGGCACTTCCATGAATGCAGGATTCCTCATCTTCACTGTGCAGATGAGGAAACAGAGGTCGGGTGAGCTGAAGCACTCACCCCATGATGGGCTCCTAAAGGCAGAGCTGAACACTGCAGCCTCCATGCTTGGGGTGCTATGGGAGACATTCGTTCCCCTGGTGGAGAACAAGTCTGCTATGGGCTTAAAGGCAAGGCAAGGCGGATTACTGAACAATCACTTGCAGTAAAGCGTAGCACACACCGACAGGGAGAAGCAGAGCAGAGGCGCCAGGGGCCTCCGGTCTAGCTGGGGCGCAGGAAGGGGTGGGACGTCCTGTCCTCCCAGGGTGGGGGAAGGATTCCAGGTAGAGAGAACAATGAGCAGTGCACGTTCAAAGGCGTGGCTTGCCTGAGGATCTGCAGAGCTGGGAAGACCCAACACAAGAGGGGTGAAAACTGGAGAAAGAGGCAGGGAGAGCTTGCACTGGCCTTTGGGGCACCTGGAGGGCCCCCAAGACCTCAAAAGGGGAGGGGACTTATTCCACAATGTGAAGTGATGAGATAAAAAATAATACAGACATTGGGGCCAGTAGGTGGCATGGTGGTTAAGGTGCTGGATTCCTACATGTCCTACTGTGGTTTGAGTCCTGGACCCGGTGGCTTGAAAACCATGCCAGGTGTGTATGTGAGCGTGCCCAAGATCCCGAGAGAAGAATGGAGGAGAAAGGATTGTGGCATGGCAACCCCCTTCGGTGTGATTTCTCACTTTCTCTCTCTGTTACTCTTTGTCTTTCTCTGGTAAGCACCGCACCCTGTCGCAAAAACAAACAAAAT